CGAGCCACCAAACCGGCAAACCGCTTGAGACACTCCCGCAACCTGGGCGCGACCGGGCGAGCGTCTTCCTCCCCGGCGGGTCCTCCTTGGGGTGCTGAAGCCAGCGCCTCGCTGGAGACATCCTCACACGCCGCTCTGAAAGAGCACCAGCGCCCAAGCCACCAGACAGGCAAAACAACCCGAGGCATCCGCGCGACCGGGCACGTGCCCCCACCCCTGGCGGTGTCCCCCCGGGGGGCTCATGATGCCACGCCTGCTGCGTCGCGGTGAGCACGAGGCTCTGAAAAGAAAAAAGTCCAAGCCACCAGGCAGGCCTACTGCCTGAGAGATCCCCAAAATCTGGACGCGAACAGGCAAATGGCCCCACCCTGGCGGGTCCTCGTTGGGGCACTCCAATGCAACGCCTGCTACAACGTGATGCGCATGGGGCTCTGCCTGTATGGATGATATGCGTACGAGTGTGAAGATGGCTTGGCTGAGCACGAGTGGGTCTGAGTAAGAGTGGTGGGAGTGTATGAGTGGGTCTAAGCATGTGCGAGTCCGAGAATGAGTAGGCCTGCATGAGAATGAGTCTGAAGATCAGTGGATCTGAATGTGAGTTCGTCTGAATATGAGCTGCGTATGCGAGAGCTGAGAAGAGGCAAGAGGGGGGAAGGAGAACGGGGGGCGGAGGCATCACACCAAGAGCAAGACTTGAGACACATCGAAAGAGGAGGGGGTCCTGATGGGGGGAGCACGCGGGGCTGGAAGGGACCGGGGTGGACGAAACGGAGGTGATACACTAGGGTGAAGGAGTCCCCTGCGTGCATCTGGTTATCCTGACGCCCCCACGCCGTCGGAAGCGGCCACGAATCACGGAGTGTGCCCGGCGGCGCCAAGATCAGCTGCATGCAACAATTTTCGCCCCATGGATTTCCTCAATGCCGGGTCCAGGGAAGCCCGGACCCGCTCCACAGAGGTCGGCTCGTCCTCCTGAGCAACAGCTTGACGGCCCCGCGGCCCGGCGAGGGGCCACAAAGGCCGAACGGTATAGAAAAAACGCAACCTAGCGCCACCTGCTGTTTCCTGCACGTTGGAAGCACGGGGGGAACTTGGTGGGCCCGGAAACGGCAGGGCCGACTTTTTCACCGCTTCCGAAAAAAGTAGCTCTTGAACATGGAAGCGGTCAACAAAAACGGCGACCGGAAACGCCAACACCACTGGCTCCAGGATTGGAGCCAGGACAAGAAGCGAAACAAACAAACAACGACGGAAACGGCAACAAAAACGGCGACGGAACCGGCATAGAAAGGGCAAGATGGAGCCATAACCAAATGCGGCCCTGTCGTTCCGAGGGATCGTTAAGGTTAGGTTCGGGCATCTCCTCTTACAGGCGGATCTTGAAAGACAGATGATCACTCTTCCGAAAACGATGAAACATATTTCAAAACATGTCTCCAGACTATGTTTTGACTCTGTTTGCATATTCCTCCTGTAGAAGGCCTGCCCCACTTATTGACACTAAGGGGGGAGAAGAGGAAGAGGTGGGGTAGCAAAGTGAGCAGCGTCGCGCCCGCCCCCCTCACAAAGCAGAGGTCCTGCAGGGGCAAGGGAGCGGCATGGGACCGAGGTCGGAGGCGCGTGGACAGGAGGGGGCGGAGGAGGAGGGAGCAGAAAGGAAGGAAAGGTGGCAAGGGGCAGACCTTCTCGGAAGGCGCCGGGGCTTCGGATGAGGCCAAGGAAAGGAAGCTCCTCACAGGGCCCGGGGCCTTCTGAGCCTCCCGAGACGGCCCGCCCCCCCCCGAAGCCCTCTTCTTCGGCCCGTCCCCCACTCTGCCTTCCCCCTGTGATGGGCCTGTTCTCCACCACCACCATGAATTGGAGGGGGAAGGAGGTGGAGGACGAGGAGGAGGAGGAGGAGGAGGAGGAGGAGGAGGAGGAGGAGGAGGAGGAAGAGGAGGAGGAGGAGGAGGAGGAGGAGGAGGAGGAGGAGGAGGAGGAGGAGGAGGAGGAGGACCCCCTCTCCCTTCAACTTATGGTGGTGGCCTCGAGGAGGGGGAGGAGGGCCGAAGCGGCGCCAGGACGCCGCAACCTGGACCCGGCGGGGCCCACGACGCCCGAAGACGGACGGCCCCAGAGGGCCCCACATTTGCCCCCCTTCGGGCCACCCGCACACACACAAGATGGGCCCGTGAGGCGCCCCACTCGGCGAAGGACACCCGACAGACCCGGACGGGCACAAAAGCCAGAGGCCCGCAGGGGAGCCGACGAGGCCCAGGCAAAACACAGAGAGGCCATCGGCGATCGGCGACATTACCAAGCAGAAGCAGCGGCAAACAACAGCATCAGGCAGAGACAGCAGCAATCTGCGGAATCTGTCCGCAGCAGCCAGCAGCTAGCCAGCAATAGCAGCAAGCAGCAGCAAAAAGCACACAACACAGACGCAGGCATCAGCAGCAGCAGGCAGCACGCAGCAGCAAGCCGCCAGACAGCAGGGACAAGGAATGACGACTGACTAAACGAAGGGAAGGAGGGGAAGGACGGGAGGTGGCAAAGGACGGAGGCTGGGAAGCAGGAACGGAAAGGAAGGGAATGAGAGGGGGATAGCAGGAGAGGGGAAAAGACAGGATAGGCGCGCACGCGCCATATCTGGCATCCTGCCCCTCACACCCATCCCTTCCCATAGTGCAGACTATTTCTCTGCCTGTCGACGGTTGTCACAGCGGACCTGGAACCCCCAACGGGACACTATCGTGTTGCGCGCGATCCTAAATGACGAGCTGTGCACATCGGAGAATGTGTCCTGGAGGTGTCGGATCAGCAGGAGCAGGAGCAGGAGCAGGAGGAGGTGAAAGAGGAGGAGGGGGAGGAGGAGGAGGAGGAGGAGGAAGAGGAGGAGGAGGATGAAGAAGAGGAGGAGGAGGAGCACTGGACTTGCCGCGCAGAATATTCATTTGTCCAAGGTGTATGCCACATGCGCATCGCAAGTGCACCAAACCCTGCCATATGTGCTTCCACTGCAGTTAGACACAACCATCATGTCCGTTGCCGAGCGTAACGCGTGGGCGAACGGAGAATCGCGTGGTCTCGACACGAGGTGCGCAATATCAAGGTTCTGCGGGCTGAACAAAAAAAACATAGATACGCAGGCTGTTTCCGAGCCAGGCACGAGTGCAGGACTTTATCGATAAGCTGTAAGCTGCTAAGCTCACACATTCCCTCTTGCCAGCTGTAAGCAATGAGAAGGTCGCAGGCGAGGCTATCTGGGTGAAGCATAAGAGCCCAGCTCGGATTCCCTGCGCGAGCAGTGAGGGGCTTGATGTATTGATCAGGATTGCTGTGAATGCACGGTCCTAGCACGTTCCCTATCGGATCGAGCATGTCTGCTTCCGCGGGCCTGATACGTCCATCCAAACATGCCCACCGCACCAATCTCCTGAATTGCTCCAGGTCCGCCCGTGTGACGCACCACTTATGTGGAGAGATACTGTTATGCATTCGGTCACCATCTAGCACGACGGTCGGAACCTCCACAAAATCATCCTCCGCTGTTCTCTTGGCCGGCCTGTCGACATACCAGTGGCGAAGCCGTACCCCTACCCAACATATCGCCCCACTGCAAATTCGCCGGCCCAACGGGCCAGAGGCGTCCGGTAACTGGTTAACAATTCTCTAGTTCGCGCGCGCGGGGCGGCCCCTGGGGGTCCCCGGACGAAAAGTACCCCGGGCGACTCCCGGCTGATCCCCGGGCGAAGTCACCAGAGCGCCCCATGAGCGCACCAACAGGGCTCCGAGACGTCCCCGAGAGCCCCAAGAAAGGCCAAGAGGCCCCCAAGAGGCCCCCAAGATGGTACACGAGGGGTCCGACATGCCACAAGATCGCTCCAAGACGCCCAAGATAGCCCCCAGACGCCCCAAGAGGCCTCCAAGAGCACTCCCAAGAGGCCCTTTTCCTTAGGTTTTTGAAAGAAGCTTCCACCTTTTCGGCTTCCCGACGCCCCAAGACGGCCCAAGAGGCCCCCAAGATCGCCCCAAGAGGGCCCAAGAGGCCCCCAAGAGGGCCCCAAGATGGCCCAAGAGGGCTCGAAGACGGCCCAAGAAGCCTCCAAGACGGTCCAAGAGGGCCCCAAGAACGCCCCCAAAGGGGCCCCAGAGAGGGAACACGAAACAACATTTCGAGCCCTCGGCCCTAAGAAGCCCCTACGAGGCCCCAAGAGGCCCCTAAGAGGCCCCAAGAGGCCCCCACGAGCCCTCAGGAGGCCCCCAAGAGTCTCCCAAGCGGCCCCAGGAGGCCCCCCAAATGCCCCCCCGAGCGCCCCAGGAGTCCCCCAAGCGGCCCCAGGAACCCCCAAAACGCCGCATTGACACCAGGCCCTCGGACAAACGGCAGACATGAGACTGTATGGGCCGGCGGAATGAGCGAAGCGATTAAATAAGATTAGCGAAAACGCAAGAGGCCAGCATATGTGTGCTGCTGTAATCTCCACAAATCTCTCTGTCAGACGTGAAATGAGCTGGACTGCTTGTCTTGTACGGGTCGCCTTCCGCGTAACATGTGTAAGTGTAACTGTAATACCGTAGTGAACAAGCAGACTGCTTCGAAGGTTTGTCAATAACACGCGGAATGCTCTTCTCGCACGAGCACGGCTGCGTCTCCGCTCCAGCCAAACAGTCTCTGGAAAAATCAAGGCACCAATGCGTGTTGCACGTGACGCCCGTTTCGGTTGACGAAAAGGCGGTTATTGCTTGCATTTCCAGCCAGGGCGATGTTGACTGCTGGGTCCGAAATCGCGCAACCGACGCCCGATGCGCGAACCGCAAGGGCTGTGACGGAAAACGCGGGCTGCCCCTTCAGCACAAATGGCTTGAGCCCAAATGGCGAATTACGAAAGGAGGAGGAGGAGGAGGAGGAGGAGGAGGAGGAGGAGGAGGAGGGGGAGGAGGAGGAGGAAGGAGAGGGAGGACGAGGATGAGGAGAGGGAGGAGGAGGCTGAAGGTCCCTCAATCTGGGGCGCTTTTTACGGATGATCGGAAAAGGAAGGGCCGGCGCATGCAGCTTCCCTGAATCATTCCTGCCGCGGGACCCGCGACAGCGCCTCTCGAAGGGCGCGCGCGCGCGCCGAGGAGGGCGGCGAGAGGGGGGGATCCTCCGGAGAAGGCAGGACACTCCTCTCGGGGACTCCTCCTCCTACTCCTCCGCCTCCTCCTCCTCCTCCGCCTCCTCCTCCTCCTCCTCCTCCCTCCTCCTCTCCTCTTCCTTCTCCCCCTCCCCCTCCTCCTCCTCCTCCACCTCCTCCTCCTCCTCTTCCTCCTCCTCCTCCGCCTCCTCCTCCTCCTCTTCCTTCTCCTCCTCCGCCTCCTCCTCCTCCTCGGGGGCAGCACCTCGGCGGCGAGCCCGGGGGGAAGGCAGTGTGGGCACTGGGGCGGGCCCTCTCGGGAGTGGGGAGGCGGAAAGGTACACCGATCTACCGCCACTCCTCGGACCTCTTCCGAGGTGCGCTCTGACCAGAATCTCGGGGCGAACCCAGCCTTGGCGACGAGGGGCCCCCAAAAGGGGACACCGAGGCGGGGGTAGCGGTAGAGGTACCCTGCCCTCCTCCGATATGGAATGAGAGCGCGCGGCGGCGGGGCCGAAAACAGCTGCACGCAGCAGTGTTGGAACGGCCCCGTTCCCGCGCCTTCCCCCCACGGCATCCCGGCGATGCCTCCCAGTCTGCCCCGAGGTCGCTCCACCCCTCCTCCTCCTCCTCCTCCTCCTCCTCCTCCTCCTCCTCCTCCTCCTCCTCCTCCTCCTCCTCCTCCTCCTCCTCCTCCTCCTCCTCCTCCTCCCTTCTCCTCCTCCTCTTCCTCGTTCCTGCGCCCGCCTCGACTCTCAGAGCGGCTCGGAGGGCTCTCGAGGTCGGGGGCGTCCGCGAGGGGGTCGTGCAAATCATGGCCCGAGGCATGTGCGCGGCCCAGGGGGCGGCCGGGGACGTATTGACACAAGAAGAGGCGCCATGAAATCTTGGGAGATATCATGGCCCAGGCCATGGGATTCCTCCCCCTAGTCACCACCCCCCTCTTGGCCGCCCCCGGCGAGAGCCCTCCACCCTGAGACCCGACGCCAAAACGCATCCTCGATCTTCGTGCGAGCCGGGGCCCCTGGTCTGAGCGAGCATGCCCTCAGCAGGAAGCAGAATGGGCCCACCGCCCCCTCTCCCGGCGGATCAAGTGTGGGGCCGTGGCGGGGTGGGACCCTGAGGACAGGAAGGGATCGCGAGCGTTTTCCTATTCGGCGCTTTGACATTGGGTGCAAGGCGGGGCGGGGAGGGGGGTGGCCTTGCTCCTGACCTCTGCTGAATGCGACTGCTTGCAGCAGTGCGTGCCAGGGGGGAGCCTCTACCTGCGTGAAGCAGGCGCCAGAAACAGCCAGAATCCACTCCATGGGGGGGGAGGAGACGGGGGGTGCGAGGGCCCGCGCCAATCGGCAAAACAACGAATAAGACAACGATCACATCCCAGGTTGGATTGACCTTGTCTGAGGCCCCTCGTCCGCCAGAGTTCTGGCAAGTGTACTTGCCTGGCCTTCCCTCCCCCCCTCCGCCGCCCATCCAAGCTACGATGGGCCGAAAGGGCGTGTAAGTGAAGTCCAGAGCGCCTTTCAGGCCTCGCCACGCGCTCCCCCCGGCCTCCACTAAGGTTTCTGCGCCGCAGTTGGAAAAAAAAACGGCCTCGTGAGGCCACATCCCTCAGGGCCCAACCTTTGAGGGGCAACAATCGGGGGGTTCTGGCTCAGCGGGGGAACATCGACCTGGAATCAGCAATACATCGCCGCCAGGTAGCCGATAGGTCCCCGAGGGCGAATCCGCACGTTCCTGGGCGGTTGGGCCACGGGGCCCCTGTCAGCGATCAATGGGCGATTGGGGGTCGATGCGTTCCCACCTTAGCCTGCCCCCCCAGCGATCCTCGTCGCCCGGTCTTCAGGTCATATGACTCGGGTCTCCTGCGACCGCTCGGGACGTCCCGGGCACCCCTGGAACGCTCTCGGCGAGGCGCAGCTGATGGAACCCACCCCACGGCTTAGCAAAACTCCCAAATGACCAACGAACAACACGCACCCATGAGGAGGAGGAGGAGGAGGAGGAGGAGGAGGAGGAGGAGGACGACGAGGACGACGAGGACGACGAGGGGGAAGAGGAGGAGGAGGAGGAGGAGGAGGAGGAGGAGGAGGAGGAGGAGGAGGACGACGAGGGGGAAGAGGAGGAGGAGGAGGAGGAGGCTGGCCATGGGTACGGGTGCGGGTTGTCGGATCCCGGGGGGAGGCGCCCGGTCGAACGGGGACCCCCATCCGGCAGCACGCGCCCGTAGGCCCCGTCCGTCCCCTGCGGGTATGGATGCGTGTGTGCTGTTCGCTCGCCACAAAAACTTCAGGAAACGCTCGCCAAAAAACTCGGACGTGGCCGTGGCCCAACAAGCTCAGCCAAACTCAAAACAGCTCCAAAACCTTCGAATGCTCCAGAAACTTCTGAAACTCCACCTGCAGCTCCAAAAACCTCTGCAAACTCCTAAACCCGGACCCCCGACGCCATGCTTTTTTCCATGGCGTCGACCACAGAAGACTTCCACCCACTCCCCAGGACCGGCTTTGCATCCCCAGCCTCTTCCTTGACGGCCCCGAGGCCCGGCAAGGGCCCCCATGGAGGCCGAAAAACTGGCGAACCACCTCCCGCCGTGATTCAGAGCGTGAATTACCTACCCCGCTCTCGCTTCCAGGCAAAACCAACTCATACCACGCGCCTCCTCGTCAAGCGGCCTGATCGGCGCAGGCCGCAGTTTGGCGTCGCTTGGTATCTCTTGGAAGCGAGGGTGGTCAAAAGCGAGGTAGGCCCTGCCCGCGTCGAATGCGTGTCGAATCCATGTCAAACGCGTCGGATCCATGTCGAATCCGTGTCGAATCCGCGTCGAATCCATGCCAAATCCGCGTCGAGTCCGCATCGAGCCCGCGTCGGGCCCCCAAGAAGACACCGATTTTAGGGACAGGCGAGGTCCCCCGAAGATGCAACAGAACGTGATGCTTTGCCCTGCTCGAAGGGGGTCTCTCGGCAGCCGCCGGCCCTCGGCGCACGCGCCCGGCCGCGACGCGCGCGCGCGGCGGAAGCCGCCGGCCCGAAGGCGCGGGGCACCGCGCGCCGATGCGCAGCGGCCGCCGGGCTCCCATCCGCGGCGGCCGCGCCGCGGCCGGAGATAGCCGGCGGGCGGCGAGAGGGGCGGACAGCCCAGGGGCGGGCACTGTACAGGGCAGTTTTTTATGACGAACCACCAACACACATACACACACACACACCCATACCGTCCCATACCCATAGGGGGATCGGAGAGGGCTGTGGGTGCGCGTTGTCGGATGGGGGTCCCCGCTCGAACGGGAGCGTTCCCCAGGGTCCGACAACCCGCACCCATACCCATAGCCAGTCCTCCTCCCAACGACCCCCCTATGGGTATGGGTGTGTGTGTGTGTTGTTTGTTCGTCATTTTAATACATCGGGTTTTCAAGCATTTAGTGTTTTTCATACATGATCAGTTTATGAAGAAACTGATGCATGAACTCACCGCTGGTTTTTACTACTAAATCCATGCCTTTTTAATATATGATCCGCACGCGGAGCAGATATCAAAAACGGCACTGTACACGCATTCGCCCAGGAGCCTCGCCTTTTGTTGCTCCCATCGTGCTTCAGGGCCACATCCCAGAAATGATTTCGAGCACCCGGAGGAGTGTCGAAAGAGCGTCGAAAGAGTGTCGGGCGAGTGTCTCCCAGGGCCCGACTCGCGAAGACCGTAGAGTTCTCGGGCACCTTTCTGGTGCTCGACATCCTTTCTGGTGGTCCAGGCTAGAGTAGGCTGGAACATCATCAGCCTCGCCGAAGACATAGATCATCGGCGCCCCTGGATGCACGCATTGCTCCCCTGGCTGGGCTGACTCCGGATCCGCCCTACTTTGGGGAAATTCGTAAATAGGGCTTGGAATTTCCGCCTTACTTTTCAAGCCCCGCTGATGCCAATTTCCGCCCTACTTTTCTGTTGTTGTTTCCGCCCTACTTCTGTGGATTTTCGCCCCATTTTATGTTGGGTGCAGAAATTTCCGCCCTACTTGTTCGGCTCCTTATAGGTGGATTTCCGACGCAATTGTAAGTTGGAAAAAAGCCAAAGTAGGGCGGATCTGGAGTCAGGGTAGGCTGGAACATCATCAGCCTCGCCGAAGACATAGATCATCGGCGCCCCTGGATGCACGCACTGCTCGCCCGGCTGGGCTAGTCGCGCCCCTCGTCGCCTCCGAGATAAAGGGGCACGTGGCCCGCTCGGCGAGCGCGCGCCCGGCGCGCCGAGCCGACGCGTGCGGTGGCAACTCGGAGCCTGTTTTGTCCCCAGCCAGCGCTTGCACTCAAGTGGCGCGGAAGTTGGAAGATTTGGCGAACATCCCTGACTCCAGATCCGCCCTACTTTGGCTTTTTTTCCAACTTAAAACTGCGTCGGAAATCCACCTATGAGAGGCAGAAAAAGTAGGGCGGAAATTGCTGCACCCAGCATAAAGTAGGGCGGAAATCCACAGAAGTAGGGCGGAAACAGCAGCAGAAAAGTAGGGCGGAAATTGGCATCAGCGGGGCTTGAAAAATAAGGCGGAAATTCCAAGCCCTACTTACGAATTTCCCAACAGTAGGGCGGTTCCGGAGTCAGGGATTCCCCGCCGACTTTGGGTAGCAGGCTGGCTTCCCGGGTTCTCGGGTGCCCGGGTCGTTGGTTCTGGGGCGATCTCGGTGGGTTAAATGGGTTCCTGGGCTCCCGGGTTCCTGGTCGATGTCCGAAAACCATCCACTGATTGGGGTTCTTCTCTGGTGTAATTCTTAGACTCAGGCAAGTTTATACTCCTTGCATGGCGTTCGCCCTCCCCCCCCCCACCATCGATCGCCCCTCTTCAGTCGAAGACGGGCGTGCAAGTGCCTTTCCACGTGCGTGGTTTCCGCACGTCAAGTCTTTTGCGGCCTGCTTCAGGTTGAGCCCCCCCCCCCCTTCCCGTCCATGTAAGTAAACTTGCCGCCAGAATCTAGAAACACAGGCTGACGGGAGCCTCCCATACCATCTTGCCCGCTTTTGCGAATCGACGCCAGTCGACGCTGAATCGACGCTGACCGACGCTGAATCGAAGCTGGTCGACACTAGCCGCCGCGAAACCAGCGTTATCTCATCGACACCCAGACGCTCATCGACGCTAGTCGACGCTGAAAACAGAACTGCGAGGGTACACGGTTTCCGCCGGCGCCGTAGGCGACCCGAGGAAGAGGAGGAGGAGGAGGAGGAGGTGGAGGAGGGGGAGGGGGAGGAGGAGATGGAGGAGGGGGGGAGGGGAGGAGGGGGAGGGATGGAGGAGACGGAGGAGAGGAGGAGGAGGAGGAGGAGGAGGAGGAGGAGGAGGAGGGAGGAGGAGGAGGAGGAGGAGAGGAGGAGGAGGAGAGGGAGGAGGAGGGGAGGAGGAGGAGGAGGAGGAGGAGGAGGAGGAGGGAGGAGGAGGAGGAGGAGGAGGAGGAGGAGGAGGAAGGGTCGCATAGGCCCTTCGGAGAAACCCTCCGTGCGAGGGCACGCGCACAAGGCTCCCATGATTTGCCACCGAACGACGCGGGCCGGGAGGGCGCGGGAGCCAGCCGCGGGGGCCGCGGGCAGCGCGCGCAGCGCGGCGCCCGCGGCAGCCGGCGGCACGCGCACTCGAGTGGCCCCACTCGCAGGCCAAGGGAGGTGGCCTCGGGTGCGCGGCCTGCCGCCCGTGGCATGCGAGGTGCGGTGGAGGAGGAAGAGGAGGAGGAGGAGGAGGAGGAGGAGGCGGAGGAGGAGGAGGAGGAGGAGGAGGAGGAGGAGAGGAAGGAGGAGGAGAGGAGGGAGGAGGAGGAGGAGAGAAAGGAGGAGGAGGAGGAGGAGGAGGAGGAGGAGGAGGAGGAGGAGGAGGAGGAGGAGGAGGAGGGTGGGAGCGGCCTGCGTGCTCGGCTCTGGCCACCCCGTCGGCCCCCCGAAGGCTGCGCAGCTATACCGAGGGCCCCTCCGGCGAAGGGCCACACGGAGAGGCACCGCCCGGCCGCGCCCTGCCCACGTGCGCAGTCCTTCCACGATTTGCGGCGGCGTGTTCTTTTCTCGGTCCGGCGGCTACTCCAAATCCCTTCTTGATCGCCCCCCCCGCCCTAAAAACCGACCCCCCTCCAAATGCGACCTAGGACCTAATCTGGAGCCCCCTCTTCGGCGGGGCGCCTCAACAAACCGGACCCCCTAAGCTCCAATCCAAAGAAAGCGCCCTAATAAACCAGACCCCCCCAGTTGCGCCTAAAAAAACGGGACCCGGGGGACAATTCATAAGGGATTTGGAGTGCGTTCGTCGGCCTCGGCCTCGACGACGGGCAGCCCAGACCCCCGACGTCATGACCTTTTTCATGACGTCGACCCCAGAGGTTTTGACCCATTCCCCGGGGCCCGTTCTCCACCTCGGGCCGTCTTTGGACGGCCCCGAGGCCCGGCGCGGGCCCCCGGACGCCGAAGCTGGCGAAAACCTCCCGCCGTGATTTTTGTTGCATTGATTTGATTGATTTTTGTTTTTTCGTTTTTCTCATGATTTCTGGATTTCCTTGATTTTTCTTTTTTTACAACCATCCTGTGGTGTTGGGTCCTCGTTTTGAAGAGACAGCGCCCCGCGTCCAACCTCCCTTCCTCCTCCTCCCCCTCCTCCCTCCTCCCCCATCCTTGCCTCTGCTCTCGGCACACCTCTCACACGTTTCGTGGCCCCATGGGGAGCTCCACCGAGGGCCCCAGTGGCTGCTCTCGCATGCGGCTCCCCCACCCAGGGCAGCGCTTCGTGGCCCCATGGGGAGCTCCACCGAACGCAGGCCCGAGCAGGGCCTGGGCTCCGAGGCGCCCCGTGCGGGAGCGAGGTGGGCACCCCACGCGGGCGGGGTCCGGGAAGGTCACAAAAAGGGGGGGGGGGGGGCGGGCTCGGGGAGATCCCCATTTTGAACATGAGATCGCCCTCGATCTGTATATCCTCCTCCTCCTCCTCCTCCTCCTCCTCCTCCTCCTCCGCTTCCTCCTCCCACTCCTAGCCCTTTCGATCAGGGTCGGCGGCACCGGCCGTCAGGCCTCTCCAATGGTTGGAGGCTCTCAAGACAACTGTGCGCGCCGCTTGGGCGAGAGCCCCCTTTTCGAAGACGAGCGCCGTCTGGCCGTTTAGCAGTTCGAATGTTGGAAGACGAAGGTGCGCGGCGCTGAGGGGGGGGGACGGGGCTCAGGGGGGAAAACGTCGGCCTGGGATCGGCGGTGCATCGCCGATATATCGGGGATGGGTCCTGGGCGATCCGATCCGTAGGTTCCCGGGCGAGGGTGGGCTCTCGGGCACCCTGTCGGCGATCAGTGCACGATTGGGGGGTCGATGCGTCCCCCCCCCTGGGCATACCTTCCCCCTAAGGTTAGGTCGGGTATGTCCTCCTACAGGCGGACTCTGGAGGAAAAGTACAAACTAATCCAAACAGACTCGAAACAACAACAACAACAACAACGACTCTAAACAAATCGTTCCTATAATTTGTTCTGATTAGGTTTGAATTCTTTCTCCTGTAGAGGGACATGCCCGACTTAACCCTCATGTTGCCCCTGACTCCAGCGCCCTGGGACAAAAAAGGCTCGACGTATGCACCACGTCGTCTGGTCGGCCACGGATCTCGGTGTATAGACGTCCCAGCTTTCCAACCTGGGGGACGCTGGAACGCCCCCACACCGAATTCCTTCGTCGTCGCGGAATTGGACCATCCATTGACCCTAAAACCCTAGCTTTTGCTCCTGTGGCCCTCGATCCTCGCCCTTGGTCGTCCCCATCGGCCCTCTGCGTCTCCTCTTCGTTTTCTTCCTCCTTCCCCTGCTCTTCCTCATCCTCCTCCTGCTCCTCCTGCTCCTCCTCATCCCCCCCCCTCCCCCATCCTCATATAATTTCGCCCGCCCCTCTCCCGCCTTTCCTTCCACCCTCCTTGGAGGAGGAGGCGGAGGAGAATCACAGGGAACAGGAGGAGGAGAAGGACGAGGAAGAGGAGGAGAAGGAAGATGACCGGGCCACTGCGCAACTGTCGCTCTTTTCTTCGTGTGATATTGGCTGGCCCAGCGGAGTGAAGTCTCGCGCCAATGCAGAGTAATTCTCACGGTTTCCTGCACGCGGTTAGGCAACTTGGTGCGAAGTCTAAAATCGGCCGACGAGGCCCAGAAGAAGAGCGTCGTCGGCAGCGTTCGAGCAAGACGCGCAGCCTCGGCCCCACGAGAGCAAGCGTAGGGCACCCCAAGGACATTGCATACAACGAAAGGCCAGGGTTCTGTCCCATGGCGCGGGCACCCGGGCCTGGGGACCCGGGCGGGGATCCGCTGGGGATCCACTGCGGATTCAATGTGATTTTACGGGATCCGACCTTCGGGACTGCTGAGAAACTAATGTGTTAGGAGGGAATCCAATCCGACCGCTCTACCCATATAGAATATTAAGCAAGGCCAAGGAATAATCCCGGGGCCCGCGCGACGGAGAAGGCATCGGGGGGAGGGGGGCGACCAGGGGATGGGGTCTCCTAGAGATTGACCGAGCGCTGGGGGGGGGGGGGCTTCTCATGATTTGCCGAGCGTTTGGGGGGGGGGCCCCCCCCTTCTAGAAATTCACTCAGCTCTTGGGTTGGTAGGGTGCTGCTAAAAATCTACTCAGCCATGGGGTGGGGGGGGCCTCTAAACATCTATTCAGCTCAGGGGTGGGGCGGGGGGGCTTCTAGAGATTTGCTCAGCTCTACGGCGGGGGTGCTTCCAAAAAACTACTCACCTTTGGGGTGGAGGCTTCCTGCAATTTACTCAGCTCTGGGGTGGGAGGGCTTCTCAAGATTTACCCAGCGCTCTTGCGCCCCGCCGACGCCCGCCGCCCGCCGCCGCCGCCCGACGTTCGCCGCCGCCGCCCGCCGCCGCCGCCCGCCCGCAGCCGCCGCCGGCGCCCGCCGCTGCGCGATCCTCTGACCTGTGCTCTCCGCTCTTTTCTTCTTTCTACGCTCGGCCCATGTCGCGGCCGGGCTGCGACGTCGCCCTCCTGGCAAACGTCGCGGCAGCTACGGCTTCAAACGGTCGCCGCCCGTGTCGCCAGGCAGCTTCATGCGCTTCGGCAGCCCTTTGCAGGGACCACTCACGACGCACTCTCTGTGCGCCTTCTCGAAGCCGCGCTTCAGTCGCCGCGCGTGCTACCCCCGAGACTACTGCCGGCACTTCGCTGGCGTGCTCCGCGACAACCTGCGTCGCTGCCACGACGCAGCCGTCTCGCGCAGTCGGGCGTCCTGCAGGCCCCTGGCTGCAGGACAGCGTGGTCGCCCATGATTGCTGTCGAGCCATTCTGCGCAAGTGCACCCTTGTACTCTCGCGTGATAGCACGGCTGTTCGTAATGTAAAACCCTCGCCCCTGGTCTGCGAACAGCGCGTCAGGCTTCGACGCCGAGGTCTGGAAACGAACGTTCAGCGCAGCCCTCGCATTCACATCGAGACACGACGCCCCCTGCGGCGTCTCGCCAGGAAAGCTGCCATCGAAACAATCCACGCGCAACTTTGTCCTGCACAACAGCGGGAAGCACCCGATGCGCAGCGCGCCCCAAGAATTCGGCTGCAAGCTCACAAGGATGCCAGGGCCCCGCCGCCCCTTTCACTTTCCTGGCCGGGGCCATCTCGTTAGCTTCATTCTCGCTGGTGGGCGCGATGGATCTGCTGAGGTCCGCCCGCGCCAGATGATTGTAATACCACGCGTTGTTGTGCCCCCACCCACGAACCGCATTTGCGAACTCCACCCGCTTCTTTCGCATCTCAGTCGACAGCGCTGCCTTGGAACGCCTGTGCTTGTGCTCCCGCGGCAAGCGCGGGTTTGCGTCGTGGTGCTCCTCTGGGAGAACGGAATAGATTGTGAACTTGCTGCAGGGCTGCTGGGTCGCGGGACTCACTGCTGCTTTGGGGCGCGATGCCATGGCCCTTTCCGTAGGTCGGTTCGACCCCCTTCTTTTTCAAAGCCATAGCAAGTGTTGCCCTCTTGGCCCCTGTCGGCGCAGCCAGGGCCCGCAGCCCGCTTTGCGTTAATTTTGTCGAAGAACTTCTTCCCGACATCCGATTGATGCGCCTACCCGTCCGGATTAGTCAACTTTCAAGCAATGCGCGTCAGCGCGCCATCTTCGGCCTCGTCGTTGACTTCCACGCCTCTCTCAACGCCCAAGCTCGCGCGCCGGCAGCGCCCCGGACTTCGCATCCAGCCAGAGCGTGCGAAGTAGCTCGCGTTTCGGCGCGCGGCCCAGAGAATCGACCACGCCTCTGAATCGGCAGAAGAACATGCGACGACCAGCCTCGAGCCACAAGTGCCTTGAGCCATAAGACGCGCGGAACATCGCGCTTTCGGCCTTATCAGCTCCCAGATCGACACGCGCTCAAACATCTTCGCTGGGAGCTGCTAGCACGCTGACTCCCGGGCAGGAGATCGCTCGTTCGCCGCATTTAGAAGGTCTTTCCCTGGGGGCGAATATAGCTGCACTCGGAGAGAAGGGCTTCGTTCCTCCTCTGCACCTCACTGCCGAACGCGTGTCCAAATATTCACGCCCAAACTTGCATCCCAACGCGCATCAAATCAATATCATTTCCAAGCGCCCCCCCCCCCCCCCCACACCACGCACACACACACACACACACAAACAAACAAAACAAAAACGCTCTAAACTGTCGCATGCGGCCCACGCGCATGCATGCTCGCGCGCGTTCAGACACAGCCCGCCCTCGCCCTGCGCGCGGGGCTCGCTTGC